TAATCAGTTTGGAGAGAGGTTAATTTCACGCATCCCTTCTTGCAGAAAAGGCAGGCCTTATCGGTCCTGAAAATTTTACCTCTTGCTGTTTTCCAAAATCAACCTATTAGTCATCTGCAAAGTTGAACTACAGAGCTAAGCGCTGGTCCGTTAATTTGTCTCGTCCACGAGTTTGCCCATGTGGTAGGCACTATGCTGGGCAGCTGGTTCAAATGATGAAAGCGGTTCCTCCCTCTAGGATTTTGCCTTCTCAGGAGAGACTTTCAAACAGATAAATTGCAATACAGAAGTATGGAAAAAGTGTGGGCTTTGGAGATGGACGAAGCGGGCTCAAGTTCTGTCTTTCCCACAATTAATGACCTCAGACTTTTTTTTTTTTTTTTTTTTTTTTTTTTTTGGCTTCTTAAAGTGTGTTTCCTTATGTGTGAAAGAAGAATGATGGTTCCTGCACTAGGATTATGTGATTTAAATGGGGGAACCTGTATTAGGTACAGAATTCTCCTCTTGGCTTGCAGTAAATGCATAGTAAATGCTTTGTGTTTTCTATCCTGCCTTCCTGGGTGCTGAACGAGAGTGTTTGAACTGGTAGAAAAGGATGCTCATTCCCATTGGATTAGTGATCTTTGTCCTTATCAAGATGCTGACATGCTTTCGGAAAGTATAAAATTTGCTGCTTTCAGCCAATGAGTTGGTCTTAACATGCTTATTAAATCTTCCTGAAGTATCTATGTGCTCAACTCATCCCCTCTATCTTGAGTTGTGGAATACTTGGTTCTAGGTACTGGACTGGACCCAATGGCCAGCAGCGTCCCCAGAAGACTTTACATATACTTTCTAATATAGTATATCTGTATCCATGCTGTCAGATGTGTACTGTCATCCCCATCGTGCTTAATGAGACAACTTAGACCCAGGAGGAGAGAGAACTAGGCCAACCGGGGTCATACGGCTAATGGTGATTACAGCTAATATCTATTAAATGGCTTTCTGCGTGCCAGGCAGTGTTGAAATGCTTTAAAAACACGTATCATCTCATTTAATCCTTGTAACTACTTTATGAGGTAGGGTCTGTAGTAGTGGCTGAGCTGGGTGTTGAACCTGTATCGTTCTATTTTTGTTTTGTATGAAATAATTAAAAATGAAAAAACATTCACATTCTTAAAACAGGTGTCGTTTAATCTATGGAATGACGTGGGAAATGTGAACATGGCATTATGTGATACACCAGTGAAAACCGAGATTTCCTCTCCGAGAAAAGGACTTACACTTAACACTGAAAAATCGTGTTTTTAGTGACAAATGGGAACTGTTCTCTGGATTGCAGGGTCTTTTTGGAGTTCCTGAGCTCAGCGCCCCAGAAGGATTTCGGGTCGCCCAAGAAAATGCCTTGAGGAAGGCAGACTTGCTTGTGGAGCGTGTGTGTTCCGTGGCACCTGGGCCCCAGACCGTGCTCATTTTCGACGAGCTCTCTGATTCCTTGTGCAGGGTGGCCGACTTGGTAAGACGCTTGGTGTGAGCCTCGAAACTACCTGGGTGTCGAGCTGTTAACGTTTAAGCTAAGTTTATTAGGTTTAATGCTAGACTATAAAGTTAAAAGCATCTGGTCCTCGCTTTGGCAACACGTATGCTGACAGCATCTGAACCACGTGAGAGCTGACTTGTTCTCGTGGGAGAAAGTCATTAGGAAGGGAAAAATGTAGAGGAAAGGGTGACATGTAGAACTTGTGCCTTAATACGTGTAGTTACGAAAATAGCACGTGATGTATAATCAAACAATGATTACTCGTATGGGAAAGATTCCTCGTAAAAACTTCTACGAGAGTTTTAAGAGGACATTTACCTGCACATGACAGTAAAATTAATCCTATGAAAAGCCAGTTTTTATAACCTTTTCAGAAATGTCTTTTCCGGTGAAAACTAAGATTTGGATACGAAACTGATTGTATTAGTGGCTTCCTTTTTTCACATTTTGAAGTTGAAACAGACATATACCTCCGTCTCTTCGCTGAGAAGCCTGTTGCTGAGATAGAAGGCACACGTGTATCTGCCCTAAAGAGCCACGTCTTCAGTAGTCATGTCGTTAGAGTGGCGCACGTGATCCAAAACTGAACCCTCCTGAGCCTGTCTACTTCGTATTAGACTATATATTGCCTTCCCTTCGCATTCGTTCAATGTCGAGCCCCCACCACGTGCCAGGCTCTGTTCTAGGCACTGGGAATGCGGCTTATGACGCTCACGGTCTCTGGCCTCAGGGAGCTTATGTTCCGATGTCAGCTTTTTTTTTAGATCTTATGAGGCACCAGGCCCTGGTAAGAGGTTTACCTGGATTAACTGAACTAACCTTCTTAGCATTTTCAGTTGCGGAAAGAAAGGCAGTAACAGGTTAAGTGATGTGCCCAAGGTCACTCTCCAGTAGGGGGTGGGGCTGGGCTCAGAGTCCAGGCGTTCTGGCTGTAGGACTCACGCCCTTAACCCGCTGCTCTGAACCTCCTCCTGGCTGGCTGGCTGGCTGCTTAGGTCAGATGAATAGGTCTCCCTTACCTGGAGAGGTTGGAGTGTCACTTAGCTTTTTAAAAAGGATTTATTTTTAAAATTATCATTTGGCAAAATTGGCTTCTTTCTGGAGCTGGCGTAGTTCTGTGAATTTTAACTCACGTATTCACGTAGCCACCGCCACAGTTTGGGTACATAACCATCTCATCACTCCCCAAAGGCCCCTGTATAGTCCTGCCCAGGCCTCCCCTCTTACCTCTGGCAACTACCCACCTGTTCTCCCTCCCGCAGTTGGCCTCTTTTAAAATGTCAGATAATGGGGTGCCTGGGTGGCTCAGTCAGTTAAGTGGCCGACTTCGGCTCAGGTCATGATCTTGCGGTCCGTGAGTTCAAGCCCCGCATCGGGCTCTGTGCTGACAGCTCAGAGCCTGGAGCCTGTTTCAAATTCTGTGTCTCCCTCCCTCTCTCTCTGACCCTCCCCCGTTCATGCTGTCTCTCCCTGTCTCAAAAATAAATAAACGTTAAAAAAAATTGTTAAAAAAAAAAAAAATGTCAGATAAGTGGAATCACTTGCCCTTTGAAAATGACCTCTTTCACCCAGCGTAACACCTCCCCATCCTTGTTTTTTGCATGTTTGGAAGTCACTTCTCGGTTTTATAGGGTCTCGGTTTGCCCTGCAAATGCTTTGGGTGGAGGAGGAGAAGGGAGAGGCACTCACTGCCCAAGGACCCCTCACACTTCCTCCATGTAATTGTGCCGATGGAATCTGCAAAGGGACATAGTTGTCAGGGAATTTCACTTATGTGCCATCAAGTACTGGCTTTATGTCTTCGTTGGTGGTTTATTTGTTGTCTTAGCCTGCATTTTAATTAAGTGGTGGTCTAGGATTTTTTTTCCCCACAGTTTTGCTTTTTTTTTTTTTT